ACTATCTTAGAGCCATACATTGGAACCCCCAACCTTAGTGTCAGCAATGGCATGCAAATCAAGCCAGTATTTGAATACCAAATCAGATGGGTCCTTTTGTGCACAGATGCAGTCTCAGGCATAAATTAAGTAGCAGAAGAGTAATTTTTATTCATCATTCTGAAACTCTTAGTGTTAGCCAACTTACAGCTAATTTTCTTTTTAATTATAGGAGGAAAAAAGAGAAATGCCACATTCTGAAGATGGATGTTTGCTTACAGAGTCTTCCCACTTTAATAATTCCAACTTATTTTTATTACAAAGTAATGGACTCTTGATGCTTTTTTTAAAAATCTAAATAATTCTCAATCCTATTAGAGAGTTGAAATTCCACTGCAGCCCCATGTTTCAGAGAATGGGCTACTAAATCACAAATTCTGTTTGCAATGTTGTTTGTGTAAACAGTAACATCTAAGACTGGCAGGCTGCAGGGTGCTTCAAAGCAATGCCTACTCTCTGAAGACTCATTTAGTTTCTTTTGAATGATAATGTTTCTTTACATATTTAATATTCAACATGAGGGTTCTATATTATATTTCAAACTATAGAAACCATATTAAACAGAAACAGCACTGTAAAATTAAATATTCATATTAAACAATAATAGTTTATGTTTAAAATGCTCTACTAATGAAAAATACAGCGTAAAACCATTGGTTGTTCTACGGTTGTATCATTAAGAATGGATTTTTAGGCTCTCTTCTAGAGTCTTCAGGATCTTCTAAAAGGAATGTTAAGTTTTCTTTTCAATGAAGGTAAACATAAATTCCTAAAACAAACACAAAACATAACATTTCACAATTCCTAAAAGTTACTGGAGAAAGAAGGAGCTGTATGGATTGCTGTCCATCAAAATTCACACTAGTCAGAGGCTAACAGAGCAGTGGGTGCTATAGGGATCAGGCATATTTACATATAAATTGTTTTGCAGAAACACAAAGAATCAGCTGCAGTGATGGCATCACTGAGAATCAGATTGAAATTTACTTCCAAAGCATATAAAAGGGTTTATACGTGTGTAATCTATGTTGCTTAAAACAATATTTTGAAGCATATAAAAGGGTTTATACGTGTGTAATCTATGTTGCTTAAAACAATATTTTGAAGCATATAAAAGGGTTTATACATGTGTAATCTATGTTGCTTAAAACAATATTTTGAAGCCAGACAAAGTATGTTCTTCTATTAAAAACGAAAGACATGACAGAGCTTGAGGGCTCCCACAGCTCATATAGAGAAGAAGGTGGCCTTTCTAAGCCTTCACACTGAGCAGTAAATACCCAAAACCAGGGGAACATGGATTCAGTTTGGGTGACGCAAGAAGGTCTAAACAGATTTACTATTTATAGAAGCCTGGCTGTCCCCAAACACTTCTGCTTATTGCTGTGAGGAACGTGCCAACTAGCATTTGACTTCTGCTTTGAACACAACTGAATTGTGAAACAAACTCATTCATTTCATTTTGAAATGGGCTCTCAATATCAAATCTGCTACACCTCCTCCACTGATCACCTATAGCCACGGGAACAACAGCCCTGGAAGTCAGCTTAATGCCCATTCCAACAGGGTGGCCTTTCAGGAGGAAAGTAAGGCTCCCCAGTTATCTCTGCCTTTCCTCTTCAGTGCATTGTGCTACAAGATCCTTTCCTCCCAGCACAGTAAATCTCAGATGTAAACAGTAGGTCCTTTTAAGAAGAAAGAAATAATGTGATATCTTCATCCGAATTTATGTTCACAACATCTGGAAATATGAAATCAATCATATTGTGCTATTCTCCCACTGATCAATTTATGCTTCGGTGTCTAAGATCTTACTGAATACATCAAAGATGAAGATCACGCCATTTTCTCTCTTTTTAACAAAGAAAAACTGCACGCTGACGTCAAGGCTTTTCAGAACATTGTTGCTAACCGATTAGGTAGTAAATGACAGCAGGGACCCTGTGTGATCATTGTCACCTGTAGAAACTGATGTCTCTGCAGCCTCATGTAGATGTGTGCCACTAACACCTAAGGCACCCTTGGTCTCCAAGATTAGAAGTCAAATGACCTTGATATTTTTAAGAGGGGAGCAGAAAGCAGGGTGGAATTGGTTGTAAGTAGCAGCAGTGCCCTTCCCAGCTCCCCCACAGTCATTTCCCTCAGGAGCTCGGAAGGCATTTAATTCATATTTCCATAATCCTTGGCGCTCCTGCAGACCTCCATGTGGAATCATTTCTGTTAATGTGTCTGGATTCCCACAAATCCCAGGAACTCTCAAGGTCATGGCATGCCTTTTTCATCTTTTTATCACCAGTGATACAAACAAAGCAGAAATTAAGAAACTATTAGGATAACCAGGCCTTAACGAGGCCATTAACCAAAGCTAATTTCAGAATTATGGTGTCTAAAAAAGGCTGGAGAGTAATTTTTTTTTTCTTCTCAAGATTCTATTTTGGTTAAAATTTCACTATGGGCAGTGTTTCCAGCTTAGAAGCTACTAACCTACACAAAATTGGGTTATGTAAAGATATTCTGGAAGAGACTAAAGACCTGGAGAAAGGGGCTGCAGGCTTCAGATGCTCAATCCATAAAGGCTAAGGTGGGAGCATAATTGTCAAACACAACATCAGAGGGTGGCTGGAGCAATGAGGCATGCTCAACCCCGACAGCTGCTCCTCCGTTTTCCTCCAAGGTCCACAGAGAGCCTAGCTTAGGCCAGCACAGTCAGGTGTCACCAAGTGGGCCAGCAGACACACAGAAGGGCACTACCAGGGGGAAGTAAGTTATGCCCCTTTCTTCCCGGGAGACCAACAGTAGGTGGTTAAGAAACCCAGCCTACCAGAATCACCTCTCCCAGTTTTTCATAAACCTTGGAATTGTCAACAAACTGAACCTTGGAAAATATCCCAGCATCCTTGGACACAAACAGAAGGAAGCCCCACCCAGATGGTAAGAGAAGGGAAGGGGTCCTCATTGAGTTTCCTCTCATCTCTTTCCAACCATTCTGACTCCCCTCACGTCAGGAAAAAGAAATGAAAAGGCGTGTGGGGATGAATAAATCTATGAGAAGGTGAGACCCTCTCTGCCTAAGTATGCTTCGGCTTAGCCAAGACCTAGATTCAGGAGGCAAAATAAAACCCAAGCTGTAAATGACAGCTTTGTTCAGCAGCTTGCTCCTCTTTAGGCTCAGTGCTGGGAGGAGCTGAGAGAAGCAGGGGTGGAGGGCAGAAGGAAAATGCCTTCACTGACCACTAAGCTTCAGATCTCTGTAGAGTCCTCAAGTTCATAACCCTGAGGGAAACTGGAGGGGCGGATGGGAGCAGCCAGAGCGCGAGAAAACTTTAAAAGCATTTTTTATTTCAAGTCATGGGTCAAAATTGAGTTCAAAGTGGGGGGAAAGTAATCTCCCTAAAATATACATCTGAAGGCTGCTATGTGGGAAGCGGCTAGACATTTTGTAGATAGCCGAAGTCAACAGAGGTCAACAGAGTTAATTGTTTATGAGGTCCCCTTGCTCTTTCTTTAAGAAAAAAAAAATACATATATTTTCTTTCCCAGTCCACAGGAGGGCTCATGGCTGTCTTCTACTGAACTCAGCCAGTGGGCTTGCAGAAAGAGCCAGGCTGCAGACATACCTTCAGATCTCTGTTTCAAGGCCAGAGCAAACAAGGTAGTCCTTTAGCCATGAGGTTCAGCAGCACCAACTGATAGGCTAATGTCCCACGGCATGTCCTTCCCTTTATGCCTCTGGCTAGGCTCTTCTAATCTGATCAGATGCACTGATAGCTAAAGCTCCAGTGACTATTGCCAGCTAGTCTGAATGGTTAGTGACATTCACTTCCCATCCCAGCACCTTTGTGCTAAGAGGCCCCAGCAAGTGTGAGCCCTCAGCCTGGCATTCCCTCCACAGCCACTGGGAAGGAAGGCACACCCACCATCTGCTGGGAGGAGTGCCACCGTGCAAATGGAAGTGCCTTCACTTCTTACCAGGGCACAAGCCACCTTGGCACACTCTCCCGTCTGGCAGGTCACTTGGCCCTGGTCACACGTGCAAAACTCGCAGGCCGAGCCCTTCCACATTTCATCCTGGTAGCGCAGAATCCCACTGGATGAGCAGCTTTTGTCAGGGGATACACATTCTTCACAACACTGCCCATGGTGCCTGGCTCTGCTTTGACCCTGGAGACACAGAGAATAGTGAGAGGAGGACAGTCCCTAGGAGACAATGGAAACATCCAAGTCAATAAGTGGGGGAGAGACACAGAACACTGGCCTTGTGTAACACAACCCCTCCTGACCCAGAGGGTGGCATTTTCCACCTCAGTTCTCCTCCTGGGAGGCAGGCTCTTTATATCTTTATATAGCATTCCACATTCTCTAAAGCTTTTGATTCTATCAAAGGACACAGTAGACTAAGAAATGCCTTTCTAAAATGATCCAGAATCAAGCTTAGAAGAACGAGTCATACACTTTCAAATACCTTTTCACATTTCAGTGGAGGGCAGGCCTGTTTGTGACACCTGACCTCTCCCTGGTCACACATACACAGGGTACAGGCATCTTCTTTCCACTGTTCGCCGTGCTGAGGGAGAAAGGAAAAAGGAGGATGGCACATTAAATGCCACAGGCATCAAACAGAACCTCAATATATGTTTCCATTACATGCTTTAATGCAGCCACATAGCACATGTTCCTGAGAAGTGAAATTACTTAGGTAGATGTGGCCTCCAAGAGAAAAGTCAATGAACATTCAAATACATTTGCATTTGGTTTGCATGAATATAATCTGTTGAGGGTCACTCTATCAAACACTTAGAGGATTTAGGGATGCTGAGGAGAGTTAGAAGACCCTACTGGTTAGTTCCTTATTCTCTGGGCCATCCTTGACAGGAGACTCAGATATATGCTTATTTTCTCAGCTTCCCTTGCAGCTAGGATATATGCGTTTGCTCAAATACTGGAGGTCAAAGAAATTACTCTCCATTTCTGTATTTCTTTCACCAGGCAATAACAATGCACATGTGAGAACAGGCTTCCTGGCAATAAAAGGTCATTCAGGGGACAATAGGAAGACACAATTAATGTAAACACCCACATTGGAGACAATACTGAGACCTGAACTGATCAACCCTGAAGCTCCCTCCCTATTGGGACATCTTGTTGTCTATAATGTCACATTTTAGTTTCTTTTATTGGGGCATTTCTGACACTTACAGGCAAACACATTCAAACAGTTTCAAAGGTCATCTCTCAAACTCATCACTCAAACTTGTCCAGTGAAAACACCAAACAAGACTACTATGCCAAACAGCACACACAAAGTGTTTCTCACTGCTGGAGAGAAAGCTTGGTGACTCCACACACCAGCTGCTCTCGCAGAGGACCTGGATTTTGTTCCCAGTGTCCACATGGCAGATGACAACCACCTGTGACTCAAGTACCAGGGATCCAATGCCCTCTTCAGGATTTCAAAACTCCAGGTATACACATAGTGTACACAATAGGAGACACACATGGAGACATTGACAGACAGACAGACAAACAGACAGACACACACACACACACACAAAAAAAAAAAAAAAAACAAATCAAAGATTGAAAGTGCTTTCCCAACTAGCTACTTCATTCAGACTTCAAGAGAACTACCTAGAATCAGTGAGACTCGTTCCAGATGCCCCTGACTGTCACAATCCAATTTCTGCTTAGATTTCTGTAGAGTGGTGAGCAAACAAGAAAATAGGCTGGCTTCATTTTCATATGTTTTCTGCTTCAGAACGATATGGCTTCTGGTGTGAGCACTCCTCAGACAACATTTATTTATTCCCTCAAGTTGCTGAAGTTGCTTTTATTTTATACCTACTACAGTTGCTGAAGTTGCCTCTATTTTATACCTACTCCAGGTTAGGTCTGGCTGTCTAGACTGTTTCAATAGTAGCACTCAGCTTGAAGTTTCCTACACCTTCAATCTCTCAACCAAATGGGCTGTCTACTCTGCCATCACCATGTTGCTTTCTAGTGTAGTATGGGGAAGAGGTGTCACTGGATATCAGTGCATGAAATCCAACCAAAGAGACAAACATCTCCAGAGCCTTGAAACGCAACATAAACTGCCAGCGAGAATAGCCCCCTCTTCTCTTCAGCATGGGTGTGAACAATAAGTTTTCCAAAGGTTCACGAACTGGATTCTGCTTGCCAGCACATTCTTCTATATTTGTAATCCTTCTCAGCTTAATTTTTTTCATAAAGGTCATTTTCATAAAAGCCATTTATGTCCTGAGTTACTAATCCTGGCAACGAGTCAGAAAGAAGGGTTGGGAGGCTCTGTGGTTGGAAGGCATTCGACTCAAGTGTGAGAAGATATGTCACAACACCCATGTGCGACACACGAAGGTTACCTCGTACACTTGGCCAGCCGCAGAACAAGATCTCGCCGAGCACTGGGGACAGCATTTTCCAGGGACTCGGACGACAATTTCATCCTTGACACCCAAAGAGAGACAGTCCATCAAAAAAATGTATTAATGAAATCCACACCAGTAGGAAAATATACTTCACAGCCCTCTCAGTCACATACTGCAAGCATGTGGCACAGCAATTCCTGTCAGCATTCATTTGTAACCCAGGGTGTTGGCAAGCATTAGTTGTTCCAAGGTCAACTAATGGATATCCTAAGTCTTGAACAGGACTCTATGAGGTAGATGGTCTTATTCCTGCCTTTAGTGAGAACACTACCAATAGACAAGTTGTGTAACTTGTCTGACTGCTCATGGTAAATGGTTGAAATAAAACTTCAAAATCCCAGCCACATTAACACTTAAGAATATATGTACTTCTCCTGTCTCATATCTAAACTCAAAGACAAAGGTATTCCCTTTCTTTATCAGCTGTTTCACTATTCTTCTGCATCTTGATATTAATCCATATTTTTATACAGGTGCGTTAGGGGTGAATCCATACATTTATATAGTACATCGGGGACATCTTTAACACAAACAAGAGTCAATCAATCACCTTTTAAAATTTTTAGAATAGAAAGTGTAGAGAAATGTGACAGAGATTCAATGCTGAAGAACCATCTCCAAAGGCCATATCTCTCCATCCTCATTTCTACTACTAGAACCACCACCCCGGAAGAGTCAGGTACTTATCTCTGTTGTCATAGTAACAGCATCCTCCGAGATGACCCAGAGTCAGTTTCCCACTGATCCCCACAGCCTTCTTCAATATCAGGAGGGAGGATCAATTAAAAGGGGAAGAAGGATGAGAACAAACTTGTCATGACTAAGTAGTGATAGATACTATACAAAAGACAGAAACTTCCAGAATGGTCCCTCCACTTTTTCTTATGAGAAGGAGATAGAGAGAAGAATTACTGCCATAGTTACTCTGGTATTCCTTCTGGAAGAACAAGAAGGACAGCATAGTTGAGCCAGAAGGTACAGTGGACTTACAAAGTCATCTTCTCGTCAAAAGTTCCAGTAATACACCTCCACAATCATTTAACTCAGTTACATATTGCCAGTCAAGTTTCTGCATCACTACCAGATAGGTTTGTTGCAAATGCTTAAACCACTGGAATTAAAACAGCAGCTGTTCTCTTTGTGGAGATATCTTATTATTCCATACGTAAAGTATTATGACTGTTGATGTTCAACAGAATATGTGGAAACTGAATCAGCAATGAGAAAATTGAGCATGCCTTGACTTCAGAATTCTTCAAGGAAATTTTGGTTGATGAAGTAGCAGTATACATCAAGTCACACAGTAACTGCACTGCATTAAAAAAAATAAAATAAGCCTTGCTCATTCTCTGTCCTGAGTAGGCAGACGCAGTGTAAAGCCTTCTTTATATGTTTATTTTATTGTTCATGCGTGTGCACATGTGTGTGTGGTTATCCACAGAGGCCAGAATTGGGCTTCACATCCTCTGGAGCTGGAGCAACATGGATGCTGAGACCCAAATTCGGGTCCTTTACAAAAGCAGGAAGTGCTCTAACCTCTAAGCCATCTCTCTAGCGCCTCCATCAGCCTTTCTTAACCAACATGGGATAAACATAACCACTACAAAGGCTTTAAACTAGACTTTTCTGACTTTCAGATACTCTTTTCAAATACATGGTCAAACTTGGACAGGAAAACTATGGAATATGAAGCATGTCCATCTTATTACCTATTTTTATAAATAAAGTTTTATTGGATTTATTGTCACCACATACACATATACTTATATATTGCCTATCATCTTTATGCTACAATGGCAGAGCTGAGTACTTATTTTAACTGTATTGCACACAAAACTGAAACTACTCAATCCTGTCCTTTGCAGAATGATGCGTGCCCTGGATGATGTGATATCCTCCACAATTTCAAAGACTCAGTACTATAAAATATAGTGAATGTGATTACATTTGGGAAGGTAAAGTTACCAGGAAAGCTATATTGAATTATGGTTGCCCTTAAATAAACATTCTTAGATAATGAAGTTTACAGTGCATTATGTCTGAGAGTTTTGACAAAACACCTTTCTATCATAGTACATTGGAGGATGTCAGAGAGATGTCACCACAAGTAAAGTAGAAGCGACAGTCATCTTCCCATCATTGACAGGAAGTCCACTGACTGGAAGACAACGTGTGGCCTTCTCTTGCTGCATAAGAAGGAGCACAAATAAGAGTAACCATCTCCTCCCAAGCTTAGGTTTCCTGGATCAGGGCTCAGTCCTTACAGACTGCTGTGTGAGGCAGGCAGAGTGCCAGCCCAGGCTCTCAGCCCTTCATATCTTTCTGCATCTAGTCAGAGCCCATAACACCAACAACACAACATAACAGGGTATTAAGGGGTCACTGAAAGTGATTAAGAACCTGGGTGGCTAAATGTCAAAGAAACAGAAAAGGCCCTTGGGACTCAGTGCACTCCGGAGGTGAGGGTTTGTTTCTTGTGTTCAGAAGGTGAACAGACCAGGCATCGGAAATGGGAAAGATCTTATCTCAGCACAGAACAACAGCAAAAGCAAGTGAAAGCCTATCCCAGCCCAGAGCACATGGCCACACATCGAGGGACAGGGTTTAGGAAAGTCAACTATCACTGTAGTTTGTGGGCAGGGAATGAAGAAAGATTCTCTTGAGCATGAATGAAGTAAGGATGTGGGGAGAAAACCCCAAAGAAATGAATGATAAGAAAAGGAAGTATCTTCTATTCACTTTGACTATAAAGCTATTTACTGAAAGAGGAGCACTCTATAAGACAATCAAAGGAGAGCCATGAAAATGTATTAAGTTTTAATTGACTTGGCAGTGTTCATAAAGGAGTAAAGACCCAAAGAAAAAAATCTTCTATATTTTCTCTTTCCTCTTTGTGTCTTTTCTTCCACTTATTTTTATCTCTGTGCTGGGAATTGGACCTGGGGTTTTATGTACACTAAGAAAGACCTCTATGACTGAAATATGCTAGTCTCTTACGGTATGTCTGATGAAGAGCTGATGGTGGAGACTGTGTAAGAAGACTGACAGTGTGATCTAATGTAATAATGAATAACAAATGTAGTAAATTTAATAAATGCAATAAATGAGACAAGAAACAAGATGTTTGCTTGTGTTCTTCTCCCATCTCTGCACCGTCTGTTCTGGAAATAGTGACTAAATCATAAGAAGCTCTCCACAAGGATGAAGAGACGGAGTAACAAATGGGAAAATGACTGATAAAGAGTAGAGCAATGAAAGAGCCATTGATATTTCTAGGAAAATAAAAAATTGGAACAGAAGTGGCTCCCTAAAACCAAACTGGGAAAAAAATTCAAAACACTGGAACACAGTAAGAAAGGGCTCTCTCAATAGAAGGCAAGATATAAGATAAGATACACGAACTGCTTCACACTAATAAGTCTTTGCCATCTTGGTTATTCCCACCAGTCTGTAAACCAGGAGAACTTCACATGTATCTCAAGCTCCATCAGAGAGCATCACCCAATTCACCAAGCACATGTGCTGCCTGCTGATGCTTGTTTGACCCATTGTTGGGTTTTGAGAAAGGCTATGCACATTCTGGTATGGCCCACACTCATTTAGGTCCACAGGCAGCTGACTTCCTCTTGCCTCAGCATGTAGGAATCCACACCCATCTTGCTAAAATCCAAGACACATTCTGTCTGTAAGTCCCCAGTGAACTCCACTTTGTATGATCATGAATCTGTCTCCTGATTTTCAGTTGCCTGGCAGACAGCTCTCATATGTAGGGAACGGGTTTTTCCAAACGGTATTTCACCTAGAAATGTCCTGGAAGGTGTTTGAATTATAAGGGTTTAAAAACATTCTACTAGAATACATCATGGCAAGACTAGCTGTAAATTACAGACTAGAAATTAGGCACCTTCCAAGAGAACTAAAAAAAAAAAAAAAAAGATGCTGTGGTCCTCAGGAGAGGGTAGAGGGGTACTGAAGTAAGGGATGCCTCCCCTAAAACCTCTTCTCAAACAAAGTCCCAAACATGAGGCCAGAAGGTGGTTATGGGCAGGTACTTTGAATAGAAGCAGAATGCAGGGAAAGTATGGAATGCCTTGCAACAAGGACCACAACAGGAGAAAAGACAGGTCTTTGGCTTTTCTGGGATGCTGGATCCCAAAATTCAGTGGAAATGAGTCTGTAGGCCTCTAGGTTCAGACACCAAATTGTCTTTGATTTAGACAGTAATCAAGAAAATAATTCTCAAGCTCAGAGGACATACAAATAATCTCTCTTGAAAAAAAATATCCAAAGATAAAGTTCCAATTGCTTAATCAATAGTGTGAGAAATTTGTGATACTCAAATAAAAACATGGCTGCTTGTAGGCTGAGGATGTAGCTCAGCGACAGCACACTTACTTGCCTAGGAGACTTGAGGCCCTGGCACAGAGAGATCCCCTGAAGCACATTAACTAACTAAATATCACAAGGAGCACGTCTCATCAGACCACAAAGATCATTTTAGTGAGTGATGATAAAGGTGACAGGGTTGTGGTTCAGTTGACAGGATATCTGGACAAAAGGTGAGAGCAGGCAATTCAGTTTGAATTCATTATTTCATCAAGAGAATAACTCCTCATCTGAGCACAAAAGGCAGTGACTTCTTTTACTACATATAATCACCAACTTTTAGAATGTGATTGGAAGCATGCAAACAAGCAAGAATCTCTATTGACTATCAGGACTGGACTAAATTGCCAAAGAAAGATATCTGGCATCAGGGATTGTTTTTGTTCTGCTTTCTGCCTTTTCCAAGCTTTCCTTAATTAGTGAAAAAAACTCCTGTTGTAATTAAAACAAAAAGCAAACAAATGAAAAAGTGAACCTCATAAGTCATAGAAATCCTTAAAACGGGTTAGAATGCTCCAGAGCTCAGCTTCGGGAAATGTGTTTCTGGTGACAAACATGCATTTTCCCCCTTACATTCAATGAATAAATGCATATAAGATACATCTTATCACATTTGATTATGTTATGTTAGCAACTTTTGCTGCTGGGATCATTATACTAAATATGCATCAGAAGTGATCTTTTGAGGCAGTGATACAGAACTGCTGGAGCAAGGAGGGTTGGCTGTTATACCCAGGACAAGTTACTTACCCTCCCCAGGCCTCTGTTTGTTTGGATACAAAAAGAATGGGGTAGTAATTGATCCTACTTCATGGGGTTGTTGTAAGAATTACAAAGTGCTTGAAGTAAAGAATTGGCACACATTCAATACCTGAAAAGTGGTGGTGTTGTGGGGTTGGTGATGATGGTATTGGCAGTTGTGAGGGTGCTGGTGGGATTCGTGTTACATCAAACTAATTCTATGGGACTCCTCTGTGTCGTTGTAGTAGGTAATATTTCACAGAGACAGTAGATCAATATTACATGGTTCTAAGTGATCTGTGAGATATCTAGATAGATGGACAGATATAGATAGATACATACATACATGCATGCATACATACATACATAGATACATAGATAAATGCATAGATGATAAATATAGACAGACAGATGGCAAAAATGACTTAAAAATACAAAAGTCACTGAGATCACTTACATATCAGTTAGTCCTGAGGTATCATGCTGAATTTCACCATTTTACATTGATTACATACATCAGTGTAAATAATGGGTGAACACTATGAATAACGGAAGAAAATAAGCTTATTCTTTTCAATATGAGAAATAGTACTTTCAATTATTCCAGTGTCTGGCTCTTACATGCTGTGTGTGGTTGTTTTCCAATTCAAAGAAGATTCTCAACAGGCCTCCATTCCTCCCTGTCTCCCTTATTATAATGATAGCCAAGTTGCCCTCAGTATACAGGAAGAATAAACTACTACCCAACATGACAACCTTGTCCAACATGAGTGCAGTGAAGCAAAGTCCCGTGCAATTCTACCAGGGCACTCACTTGTGACATGAAGCTAAAACAAGACTTGTTGATGACTGAAAGCTAAGGCATGAGTATAGAAGTTGTCATAGTGTGGATTATAGAATCCAGTCTCTCAATTAGATACATTTCCCTTGATTTTGATATTTAGCATTTCATGTCTAATTGCCTTTTGTCTGTCTTTAAAAATATTGCCCAATTGTCACAATATGCCACATTACTGACTTTGTTGTATTTGACACAAAGTGTTACTCTATAGCAACTAAATCTTGGTTTCCAGCTTTTCCTTTGATGAAAAAAACTGAACTATTTTTCCACTGGAGGCAAAACTCCTCTCACAGTTATCTGTCAACTTCCCCGCCACTTCTTCAGGCACCTCTGGAAGAGGACAACACTATATAACACTGCCTATGTCACAGATATTTACAACAGATTCTCTCCTCTAGATTTGTGTGAACAGCCTAATGTTTTGAAAATTGGATCAGCTTTAAATGAAAATGATCCCACCATTTTGAACACCCCCGAGAAAACATTTAGGGAACTTGTATCATTATCCTATAAGAATTAAATTGTGTACATCTGGATAATCATGTTCAAAGACGTGTCTATGCCTTTAAAAAGTAAGCTACACCTTACTTTTTAACAAAGTAACAAACTTCATCTTTTTACCCAGCTTTCCAGATGTTTAGCCTGACTTTTTTTTGGAGGGACATCTGCATTTCAAGCTGGAAGACATGGGAGAAAAGTAACAAACTTCATCTTTTTACCCAGCTTTCCAGATGTTTAGCCTGACTTTTTTTTGGAGGGACATCTGCATTTCAAGCTGGAGGTTTCCTTATGTATAGCCCTAAGTCTCAATTTCATTGTGTAACAATTTGCCTAAATGGCTGGTAATCAGGCCTATCCATAGCTTCTAAGAGGAAAAAAATCATCTTTGAGATTGTCTCCAGAAGTGTAAGGAAAATGAAACAACCCTGGATTCTAGGCTCTACTTCTTCCCTGGGTAGGTGCCAAACAATATCTCAAAAAAATAGTTAGGTCCCTGGGAAAGGTCAACTCTGAGAGTCCCTCTTTACCTGATTACAAAACAGAGGTTGACACTGAGCTGTGAAGCACTGGATGAGCCCGTTTCTGCACACACACTTGGCACATCGGCTCAGTCGCCACTCCTCTCCATCCTGATATATGTGGCCATCATAGGAACAGGGTTCTGGAAGGACAAAGGCATAGGGTTAGGGTAAGTACTCATATGTTGGTATCGGAGCTGACTGCATGTGTGGACTGGGCCCCAGGGCCACTGTATGGGTGATGTTGTTTTGACAATAATCTCAATTGTTCAACTTTACCAATAAAGACTGGGGAGGCAGGTGCCAGGGTGAAAGCCAGCTAGCTCAGGAAGGCAGAAGAAGCACCCAGCTGACTTTCCACCTCCACTGACATCCCAGAAGCCTCCTTCCCCTACTTTGTCTCAAACCTAACTCCCCAACTCAATATCCCTCCCTTCTACTTCCTGTGTATCCTGATATCTGTTCTCCTGACTCCCTCTTACTCTCTATGGATTTTTTCTTAGTAATCCTCTGTTCATTTCTGGTCAACTGGTTGCTTGCTCCACCTCTTGACCTATTGTTAACTTTAATTAATCCTGTTTACAATATTCAAGCCTAAAACTCTTGGATTAAAGGTGTGTGCTAAGGCTGAGCCACACCACAAACAGAAACAGGTTTTTCCAGTAAATGCAATCTCAGGGGTTCATGGTGTGATCAAATATCCTGCAAAGGGTGGTAAGGAGTGAGGATATTCTTGGGTCTCATGCTTTGTAATTGCTACTTTGCCATCTGAGTCTATGCTGCTAGTGAAGTCTGGTGAGGTATGGAACCTTGGTTCATTTGTGGTCCTATATCCTGCTTGTTTTCCGAGCTCTTAGCTGCCTGCTTCGCACTCAGTTGCAGAATATTTGTTTAACTATGTAAAGTTGCATTGCTGTCTTACATTGGCTGCCCAAGGTACCTTATTGGACTAATAAAAAGCTGAAGGATCAAGAGAAAAGATAAAGGCAGAATTTCCAATCAGGGAGAGTAAGTAGGAAGAGGAATTTAGGCTCAGGAAAGAAAGAAAATAGATGCCAGGGATATGCCAGGGCCAGGCAGCCTGACAAGGAGGAAGCAGGCAAGTAGAACAGACAGAATGAGAGAAAAGTAAAAAGCCCTGAGAAAATTATAGATAAATAGAAACAGGATAAGTTAAAAGAGTTAGTGGGACAAGCCTAAACTAAGGCCAAGAATTCATAATTAATAAGTCTCTGTGTCTTTATTTGGATGTTGGTTGGCAGTCCAAAGAAATTCCAGCTACACCAGTCCATTTTACCTAGTCAGGAAACCAAGAGGTGCATTTGTTCATTTGTCTTCTATGCACCATGTCCCAGGAGGTCCAGAGTGCCCGGGTGGGTGGTCTCCTCTCGCCCCTTGAATGTTCTCAGAACCAAGGGAGCAGATAGAAAATACAGAATTTTCACACACAAAGAGACCACAGAGGCAAAGTAAGAGGCTCCTTTACTCTGCGCAGGAAATGTGGCAATTTCACCCATTAGGTAGTTGCTCCTACATGATGTTCTAATCTCTAGAGGCAGAATGTCTTTAATATGTCTTTCTCACTGAGAGCCAGTCAAAAATGCTTTTAGCATCTAAGAGTGAACCCCAGAAACTGAGGCAGCACATTTGCCATGCTACCCCACTAAGATGCTCATGTTATTTTCACATTCAGTGTTATTTTGCTCAAAACAGTTAACAGTGCTCATATCAGCTAGTGAGTGAGTTCTGAAATGCATAAGGCAAATATTCTAATTCCATGATTTCCTGGGCATGCTTTTAAATCTCAGGTATGGTTCTCTAGAACAAAGGCCTTCGGAGGTAGAATAACTAGCGACTGGAAAGAAACCAGGAAAAAAAAAGTGTGTGTGTGTGTGTGTGTGTGTGTGTGTGTGTGTGTGTGTAAAAGACAAGAAAAGAGCATGGCTTTCAACTGATACCAAATAAAAGAACCATTCTAATCATTCCATGTCAGCAGAGGGCATGATGGACTGATGATAATTTTATGATAAAGTCCATACAAAGAGCTGTGAAAGTGCAACAGGACATGTGTCTCTAAAATGTAATAAAAAGGATACATTGAGAAAGCATGGGTTCAAAGGACAGGTCAGGTCTGGAAAGCATGCCCCCAGCTTGCTGAAAGAAATCAGGGTGCCGAATCAGGGTAACAACACTACATGGAGAATAGGTCTGGTCCTTCTGTCTATCAAGGGAGAAGAAGGGACATGGGCCTCATGGAGTCCAATCAAAGGATTGTTTCCAAGCTCCTTTATCTCTTGGATGAAGAAAATATAGAAGGATGCAGCTGGCCAAATAAGACACTAGTAGAATTCTACATTTGGAATGCAGCCTGAAGACCTGTGCCAATGGCACCCTCTGAGGCATCACTCACCACCGAGTTGCGGGCCATACCACCTTGGCTAAAACCAGAAGGGAATTTTGAATCTTTGAAGCATGCTGAACAAGGAAGACAAGAGTGGAAGTGTCATCTATAACCTCAAAGGCAGAGAGGGTCCCTGCCCACTGGCTCATACTCACTCCCTGCTCCCACACAGATGGGGCAGCAGCCTCCTTCAGCAAGGAATTCCAGCTCCTGTGGTCCACATGATAACGGGGAGCACGGTCGGTGGGAGCATCTCACCTCTCCATGAGTGCAAGAGCACACAGTGCATGGGGTCGAGGTCCACTCTGTGCCATGCTGTAAGCAAATGGAAAAGAGAAGGTTAGCTCCAGACCCCAGATTTCTGCCAACCAAATGACAGGAGCCTTGTACACCATGAGGGAGAGTGGAGCTTGGGAAAGGGGGAAGGGACTGAACTGGCAAGATTGACTAGAGATTATAGTTTTCTCTACTGGAGGCCAATTTAAAGATGGGTTTTCTTTCTGTTACCTCCAAGATTTTTATATTTGAAAATTTCAGAAAGATGCAAAAAGAAAAAAGACAGCACTAATCCCATTGTTTTAGATTCTTTTCCTGTTGCTATGACAAAATAATCTGACCAAAGCAACTTGAGGACGCAAGAGTTTATTCCTGTTCACAGATCAAGGTTCAAATTCTCAGCAAGGAAGGAAGATGGCAGGAGTTGAAGCACTTGATTACATCAAATGCATGATCAGGGAGAACAGAGAGGAATGCAAGCCTCGGCTGAGCCTTCCTCTACCTATGTGGTCCAGAATCCCATCCAGGGAGTGGTGTCACACACAACAATTGAGGCTTTCCACCTCCATCAGTGCAATCAAGGTAATACTCTATAGTCATGCCCAGATACCTGCCTTTTAGCTAATTCTAGATTGCCAAGTTGACAATTAACACCATCACACCCATCATTTGAAGAAATTGTGAATCCCAAAGAAAAATGTATACAAACAAATCTTTAGGGCTTTTCATAATGGCTCTGTCATCTACTTTAAGACAAATGCTCACCTGCTGTTTATATGTGGTCTTCAGACTCTTTGGGTTAAGTAATCCTCTTGCCTCAACCTCTAAAGCAGCAGGGGGCTCAGGTGTGTACCACCACACCTAGTCCATCAAGTTGTTTAATTTGGGAAGTACTGGAGACTGAACCCAAGATCTTTCAAATGCTAAAAACACTCAACTACTACTGAGCTACACCCCTGGCCCCCAAATTCTATCACTTTCAATGGATCTCATTCTAATCTGCTTTCTTCTTTGGGTTTCAAGCCTGATTAGTCCACATATTCTTATTCTTTTTCATACTTACATTCTCTCCCTCCGTCCCTCTGTCCCTCCCTCCCCCCCCTCTCTCTCTCTCTCTCTCTCTCTCTCTCTCCCTCTCCCTCTCCCTCTCCCTCTCTCTCCTTCTTCCTCTCCCTTTCCCTCTCCCTCTCTTCCTCTTTGCATACTGACACATACACATACCCACTGATCTCACATTCCTAGGAAGTATGTAGAAGGGCCAAAAGGAGGCCTCTACTCAACCCAGTTTCCCCACAAACTGGAGAGCAAAAGATGGTCCCAGTGAGGGTATCCATCCACATATCTAGAAAGTTTCTAGGCTACTTTACACTGGGTTACCAAATTCTCCAGGTTCTGGGCAGTTATATAATTTAGCCAGTGCCCAAAGTATCTAAATTAGTCATTCTCAGATGTGATGCCAAATGAGCCAGCATGCCAGCACTGGTGTGTGCTGCTTGGTTAGAAAAAACATCATACAGTCTCTATTCCAGGATAGACTAATGGTGCACTTTCCTAGATAACATAGTAAAATTTCAATAGTTTTCTAAATACTGGAACCTGTTCCAATTTGCCTCTTTTAAAGCTAGCTATGATGGGTGTGCTTCATCACACATCATATATGGATGGATTTTTATCAAAGCATCCAATGTTCCAGGCATTCAGTCACAGAAACATAACCTAGGGATTACACCTAGAAGTTGTAAAAGCAATTTTCCTGCCTTTTCACACTGGCATTCAAAATACTTTTCCATCTCAGGCACAAAGGAGCCTTGTACGTGAACAAGTCAGCACTCCTTCACTCTGCAATCAGGCCAAGTCTAATGCTATGGAATTATGAAAATGCTGGGCTAATGCTGTAGAAACCACAGTACCAGGTAGCTGTTATAATCCAGGGATCTGGGACTCGGCTCACTATCATACTGCTCTTTCCTCCAGACAGACTTCCAGGGAAAACAGGGGGCAGTTATACACACATGTGCTGGGAATGAGCCAAGGATGTCAAACAGTAGCCTGCACACTTCAGGTCTCATTTCAGCCCTTTTTGTCTTGGGAATGAAGTTAAGTCAAACTTACTTCCTTGTCTGGAAAAATGAGATGATGAAACAGCATGTCCTTTACTAGGAGCTTAGAAAGTTCAGAAGGTACCACATTGAGGGGGCAGCTAGGGTTCATGTGGGCACACAGAAGGGACTCGAGCTGGATATAGCATTGGTTGACAGCATCTACAGCAGAGCAGCAATAGGTAAATGCTGCATGAATGGCACTCCCTTCCACTCGTGAGGTAAGATAATCCCAGATCAGATCTAATGTGCATTGTGGGTGGGTACGGCTATTCTAATTAACTTGATTGTGACATCACTTCACAGTGTATACGCACATCCAATCATCATAGTCAAAACCTAGATATATTCAAGTTTTGCTTGTCAGCTAAACATTTTAAGCATTTTTTTTTAAATAGGATGTTTAGTCCTTCCTGATTATTTCCACGATGTGTTCTTGGATTTCTTCTGCTTTTGTTTACCGTATTTGGTTGTTTGGCGGTGTTTTTTTTGTTTTAGATGCTTTTTCCTGCTAATTTAATGTTTAAAAAGTTACCTGAAGAAAATGATGAACGACATGATAAAAAGTTCCAGTGTAAGGATTCAACCTTGTTCTCTGTAGTGAAAGTGGAAACGTTTCAGTGAGAACTGGAAAGCTACCAAAATGGCTACTAACAGAGAATAATGTTCCCCTAGGGCATGATGGGAAACTAGTTATAGCATTATTACATAAAAGGCAGGGCATAAAACATGCATTCAACATAGTTTCTGCCTCTGTGAAAACCGATCTATGTGTTATCGGTCTACCTGTCTATCTACCTACCTGCCTCACCTGCCATCTCCCCTTCCAGCAACACGAAACAACAGTCAAGAGACTGAAAACACTGGTTTCAGAACACCCATGTAACTTAGTGATTGTACTTTTTGCTTGTGTATTTTTCTATTTTCAAATTTTTCACCAATGGAATGCTGTAACTTTTGTCATAACAAAGCAAATTACTATCTAAAATATATAATGAATCACCTAATCTTAAATCCAATTGAAGACTATATAAAATAAGTTGAAGTAAGCAACTTCACTTTATTAAAAGGGAGCTACTGCTCCCATACCAGTTCTAACCAAGTCCCCTCTGGCTTTGTTTCTGAGATTAGATGAGCTTCCTGCACACACAGGATCATATGGCCATAGACAAAAGGCCATATTTCTTTCTCTTTTTTTTTGGTTCATTTGTTTATTTATTTATTTATTTTTGGTTTTTCTTTTTTTATATTGTAAAGTATCCTGATGGATTTTATTTAGACTTTTTGGCATCATAGAAGCAATATTTAATAATTGAAAACCCATCATTCATCACATAGATCAAAGAAGGAGGCATTCAGATGCAGTCCATCAGAAAACACATATTTTCACATAGCCAAAATAAGATACAATAAAATCAGCATTTCTATGAGCCTGTGAATATTTACTTATATCTTTTTTCATGGTGTCCATATATTTCACGAAAGCAGGTATTTAATTGCACTGAAAAGGCCATATTTCTAAGTGTCCAGGTACTTCAGTTCACTAAAACAAGACCTTGCTTTTTGTTTCTACAAAAAAAATTCATTGACTTGTTTCTAAAACATCTATAATCATACCACCTTTCAGACAGACCACAAAAATTAACTGTAATAACAGCCTGTCAATCACCAAGGCTTCTCATTTGTAAAATGAAAGGGCTGTGTTAGCAAAGCTCTTCGGTACCTTCGGGCTCTGTGATCATGTGAATCTATCATCTCATTCAAGAGGCACGAAATGAAGCAATGGCTCCTCCCTTCACAAAAACTTGAGAATTATAGGAATACCAAAGATCACTCAGGAGGGAGACTCCATTGTTTCATGTCAAAGCCATGCAGCTGGCTCCTGTGTAATTCAAAGTGCACAGGGCAAGGGAAGAGAATTACTCTCTCATCTCCTGGGAGGATGAGCCAAACGTGCCCTCCTCCATCTTTGTCTTCTGTCTCTATCCTGAGTGTCTTATCCTTCCCCAGAGTGTTTGAGGACTGATAATGTATGCAAAGCATTCAGCCTAGAGATCAAGGGGTCCAGCACATGCCAAATGTTATTTATATCTATATAAATAATTTCACAGGGTTCTCCATACCCATTTACAAATGCATTATTTTTAATAAACACTGTGGCAGCAAAGAGAGCTATATAAAATCAAGGAATAATACATGCATCAAGCAACGCTCCCACAAGAACCAGCTCTTGCTGTGCCATCTTAACCTCATTAATACCCTGGGAAAACATGAGATTTTTGACACTCGGAGAAAGCAAACCCTACAGACGACATCTAAAGTATGTTCTTCTGTGTAGTCAACTAACAAGTTAGTGAGTGCTGACTTAAGTCCAAAGAATAGATATGGTCATAAAGTATCTGCCTGGATTGCTGACAGAATAAAAAATATATGTTCTCTTCACATAATTTGTTCCTTATATAAGGTTATAAATTCAGAATACTAAATATCCCAGAGTGTTTGGTGCATTTTATAATTGCACCCTCTATTTGAGTAGAATAAAGCTGAATTCAATATTCATTTCTTCTCTCACATACATAATTTAGTTCTCCTTTGCCCTCATGGAAAGGAACATAAGTGTCCAAGCTCCTTACTCCTCTTTGCTCAGTGTGACTCGCACAAGTCATTACCTCCTGCCACTTTCTGTCTTTGGTGAACATTTGTGCACTTTCTCCTTAGACTTACATTATCATATGTTGGGATAAAAATTGGTGTAGATGAGAGAAAATGACAAATGGTGCTTCTCCCACCTCTTTATGAGCCAATGACACTGGGACAAGAAAATAATCATTCCAAAGCCTCTTCAGAAAAACACATTTGAGCCTCGTGCCCTGACTGGTTGGCAAGGTTGGCAAGATCCCAAAGAGAATGTATAGAGTCCCCATCCGGGAGGTTAGAGATAAAACCATCTCCCCCAGTCCTGGCTGTAAGAAACCCCACAGCACTCCTAAACAACCTGGAGGCAACCAAAGGCCCCACTGTTTTCCTCACTCAAGAAAAAGTCTTCAGGCTTATAGTGACTTGCTGAGTTGTAAATGGTGTTGACTCTTCTGTGGGCAAAGGCATCCTTTCTTGAGGCTGAGTCTTTTGCACAACGGATACCTGTCATGATGCCCTGAACTCAGTCTTCTGTTACTTACCAAAGCTTGAGCCCCAATCACTGGGAACAGTATCACTCCAGTTTTCCCTTCCTGTCACACCCTGGCTACCCTAAAGCCTCTACTTAATCTCTCCCCCAGGTCCAAGCTTCTACTTTGGAACACCACAGCGCAGTCATAAAACATCAGGCTACTTTACAGATGCCAGGAAAGTTGCCATAACCAGCCCTATGTGATGCAACCCAGCAGCCAAAAAGAGGCTTACTGCTGTTCAGGGGTGGATGAAAGCACTCTAAAAATGGCTTCCTAAATAGGCTGAAAGAGCAGAGAGGGATTGGGGTGGGGAGCTGAAAGCCAGGGAACATCCTAGCCATGTGTAAGGCAAGGCCAGACCCAGACAAAAGCAAATGAGTATGTCAACCAGCTCAGGAAAATCAGTATTACTGGATTTGGAATCTAATCTAGAGGCACGGGTGGTGGTGGGTGGCACAAGGATGGGAAAACAAAGGTCACAATCATTATAACTTGTGACAAAAAATTTGATTTTATCACCTCTTTAAAAAGAATCAGTCTCCAGGTCTGTTTGAAGAAGTAGAACATGAAAGATTTCCCTGTAAAGCCACAGTTCTCAAAATCCAATGCTTTGTGCAGTTACATCAAGCACCAGAAATATAATTATAACATTTTCCAAGAGGATGAATTTTAAAAGCACACATAGGAAACCATGCATGGGCATGTTCCTATCTAGTCTAAAGCTTTTAGCATTATTGCAGAAGGAGTGAGCCACAAGGGAGGCAGAGGGAAAGGCAAAATTAAGAGGCACAGGGGATTTATAACTAACCCACAACAGAAATGCCCAGCCACCCGCAACAATGGCTATATAACCCTGGAATGGGAACATTGAAGAGGATAGAGAAAGGATTGAATAAAGTCCTGAATTTTTCCACTCTTTGATATTTACAGAGTATCTACTTTGAAGAAGGGTCAGTGCTAGGTTCTAGGTTAGTTTAACAGGCAAAGATGACTATGAAGATATTCATAAAAGATATTCGTAGATATTCATAGATATTCATTTTAAGAAAACTTAAAGATTACAAGATTGCAATGTGTACACATGTACCACAAGTAAACAGATGGTGCCCATCTAATGACCCATGCTGAATTGCAAGAAGAACCCTTGCAAGGGTGCTCTTAAATCAGTTAGACTTAACATGTCTAACTACCTATCTGTGGTATTAAGTCTTTTTGATGTGTCTGGTTTTCTCTCTCCCAGCCCAGATCCTGATGGTATTTTGGTTCCTAGTAGCTCCCACATGGCAAACATCCATCAGGAGTTTCAGTCAACTTGAACAACACACCTGCTCTCATCATGATGAACTGGTATTAATTCCATCACCAGCCAGCCCTGTAACACCTCTACTTCACAGGATCATAAGTGGCAGTTCAAGGTGACATCACACTATAGAACAAACTGACTCTGGCAGCACATATTGACAGGTGAGATCAAGACATTTCCAGTGTAGATCATTTTTGGGTGTCTTTCATCAAGACACTGTGTAGAACAGAAAGAGACATTTCCTACTGTTACTAGGAGACTGTGAGCTGAGTAAGATGATCCAGTCCAAGGGGACATGAGCATTATACTCACTGAGTTTTAGGTACCCATACTTGAATAGCACCCAAGAGTGGGGTTATCAAATCCTACTAACCCATGTTCTCTCCTGAATAGGCAGAGATGCTAACTCAAGGAACTTATTGTATCAGGTGGAAGATGACCATTGAAGCAAAGAGCTTCCCTCTCTTCTCTGTGCTCAACTTTACCTGGTACAACAGGGTAATGCTTTAGCAAGAGTAGAAAGGGAGTCCTTTCATAATTTCCACTATAAATCTCACATTTAAATCAGTCTTTGATATCTATAATTAAGCCTATAAGATCTGGGAAATACGATCTAAGGAGGAAAAAATTAAATCTTTGGGACAGATTCTCAGGACTCTGGTTCTTAATGGAGGAGAGGAAAGGGAAACAATGTAAGAAAAGTTTGGCCATGGCTGCAGACTTCCCTAGTTGTCATGACTGAGGGTTGCTCCTCACATCTAGTGAGGAGAAGCCAGGTAAGGAACTGGACTCCCTAAAGTTCCTAGGATGACCCCAAATCAAAGCCTCAATTCGATGGTCTGAGACTAAAAATCTGTATCTTAAGTGAGTCATCCCTGAACTATGAGTCAAAAGACCAAATTCCCACCTAGATTATTTCATTTACTAACAAGAAACATGACATTGACAAGTGGTTCAAGCTATATGCAATTTATATTTTTTCAGCTTTATCATGGGAGTAGTCCCATCTGTGCTACCCACCGGCTCAGGGCTATAGACAATTATCAAATGAAAATCTATATGTAATATACAAAAGGAGGGAGGTACTGTTATTATTCAACACTGCAAGCCCTTCAACATCAACATTCTCAGCCTACTCTTGAAGCAGACACAAACTCAATGTACAAATATTTATGCAGAGCATATGGGATAAATAAGACACTTTTCATCTTGTTCCCCCCCCAAAAAAACAAAACAAAACACAAACAAACAAAAAACCTCAGCATCCACAGAAAGCCAAATGAGCCTCCTACATCTGGCTCTATAGTCAGGCTACACAAAGGAAAAAGTGAAAAATTCACATGATAGCATGGGAGATTTAACATTAGGCTTTCTTCTGTCAATGACCCATGAGTGTGCTTTGAGCCTTAAAACACATAACACTTACCTCGTGGATTTGTCCCTCGTGGTGGCAAAAGCCAGAAGTCCTCAGTGCACACTGCGGGCAGCACTGGTTGGGGGCAATCTGCAGCACTTCTCCCTGGGTATTTGAAAGCAGTTCAGGGTGAAATCACAACACCAAATGCTAGTTCATCAGACCCCAAATACCTGAGATTCCCTAAGCCACCAGAGTTTCCACAGGTAACAATGACAGACAAGGTAAAGTAAATACACCAACACAAAGGCTTCTTTGTCAAGAGGTGCTTTTTGGGAAGTAATTTCTTGGAGGAAAAAAATAACAATGCTCTGGGCCTTTTCACATGTAAATGTGATGGAGCAGTGGATTCTTCCCACTAGAAAACCTTCACACAAGGAAAGTAGAAGGAGTGAGAAAGGGGCTTATTTCTCTAACTGTATTGTTTGCTTCTGTTGGCAAAGAAAAGATTCTGGAGTAGGAAACTGCTACAGAGCTGAAGAACAAGGCTTAATGTAGGAAGAGGGAATAGAGAATTGTGGATTTTGGTTGACTTCTGGAACCAGTGAAGAGGGAGAGGGGTTGAAGGACGAGGTTTTGACAGGAAGTAGTACTGTGGTGAGGGCGGTACATGATGTACCAAGGAGAGCTATGTAAGATTCCTGGGTGCCAATAAAGAACAGTTCTTAAGGCTTCTATAGTTGCAGCTTGTGATATTATAAAAGGAAGGTAACTCGGTCTGCTTCCCATGTCAACGAATAATGCATCTGCCACTGTGAAGAATCTGCTTAAAGTTACCACAATATTAGAGGCTAATGATGGAGCTCTGTGGAAGAGCAACTGCAGTATGTGTGTGGTTCTAAGTTCCATCCCCAGCACCACACACAGACAAAATTATGTGGATGGAGGAGGAGAACAAAGAGGCTATCTTTAGGAACTAGTGATCGACCTATTAGGTCTTTCCCATAGTTCAGAGGTGTGGGAAAGTGGACAATGAGTGATCTGACCACAGTGGCTAGTGATCTTCATTAGCCAGGAAGACATGACCACTCACAGGAAGAAGGTCTACACAGCATCTACTCATAATGAAAAGAAGAGACCCCTAAGTTCATCTAAGTACATCTGAAAGAGTAAATGAAAACTGAGGAATATTTTATGACTGTAAATCTATACTGCAGAAATCCATCCATAACAGCAATCATCAAATTATCCTTATCTGATTGATAAAGAACAAAATTTCATGAGATTCTTATGAATTCCTCCATGCTATGCAATATTAACAACAGTTCAGAATGGTGTCCTCTGAACCCGAAAAGTAAACTACACTTTAATCTCCACCAAGACAGCAATGGAAACTACATTAGCATAATTTCCACTAAGCATTTCATACAGATAGGAAGTGAGATAATCCAATTGTTGTTTAACAACAAAGAATCAAGGAGCAAGACAGAAAGGCAGGTGGGATGGAAAATTCCAAGGGGTATGTCATGCCCCCAAATTAGCTTTCCACATTCTCTAGAATAAACTAACTTTCAGATTGAGCCTTCAAAAAAGCATTTCAAAATATAGAGTTCTTTATTTGTGAGTGGAAGTTGAGAAGGGAGAGGGTAGTTCCTAGCTTGGGTCAATTTACTGAATGTCTGGGGGAACATTACAGACAGGGAGCTAAAGGAGGAGCCAAGAATGCTGCATTCAAGTACCTGGAAAATAAGATACAGGATTCTTGTCAGAACAGGTACCTGTTCACATGATTTGGAATGGCTGCAACATACACACAGCACACTGGCCTACTGCCCCTCCAAGCTTTACACTGTAGCATTGAATGGTGGTTGCATGAATAATACCTATTAATGTAGACTGCAGAGGAGCCAGAAAAATGACTTGTTTAGGGTTCTGGAAGTATCAACTAATGATAATTGTGAGGACAACTTAATGATTACAACTAACACCTACTCAATGGTCTCATTTCCATGGGCAATGTGTCCTAGGGCCCCCAATAGGTGCCTGAACAGCAGACATACCAAACCTTATATGTATTATGCTTTGTTCCCCATTCATAAATACCTACAGTAAAATTTAATTTGTAAACTAAAAGCAGTAAGATTAACAATAATAGCTACTAATACAACTCTCAAAACATTTATAATAAGATGCTAGAGTAAAAGTTAAATAAGTATAGAATGTATTATAGAACTTGGTAGTCTCAACACTCATTTCTTAAAGTTAACAACTTTACTAATTCATTTAGGGGGAGCATTTTAGGGTTTCCCTTTAGTATTTATGAACTGTCACCATCTCTATTCTTATGCTTTGAGGAAATCATGAAGTAAAATAAGAGTTAGTTAAATGCAAATACTATCATATCAAGACAACCACTAAATGATCAATGAGAAATAAGCATACACAGACCAGATGTGTAGGATCAAGGGGCAACTGGACAGGATGGAGTGAGCTAGTGTGGTGGTGTGAAAGAAAATGGCCTCCAAAGGAAGTGGCACTATTAGGAGGTGTGGTCTTGTTGGAGGAACTGTGTTACTGTGGAGGTAGGCTTTGAGGTCTCGGATACGCTCAAGATATTGCCCAGTGTCACAGACCACTTCCTGTTTCCTTTGGATCAAGATGTAAGGACTCTCAGCTCCAGTACCATGTCTGCCTGTATACTGCCTTGCTTCTCATCATGAGGATGATAGATTAAACCTCTGAATTGTAAATGAGCCACATAATTAAATGTTTTCCTTTATAAGAATCGCTGTGGTCATGATGTCTCTTCACAGCAGTAGAACCCTAAGACAACTAACAAAAGATTTCGTTGCATAATGTCACACAATTCTTAAAAAAAATATTACATTTCTTTGTCTAATTGTATGGGGTATCTGGAGGGATGCATGCATGACAAGATATGCAGGTGGAGGCCAGAAAAGAACTTACAAGTGTTGGCTCTCTCCTTCCACCCCATGGTTTCCAGGGATCAAATTCAGATTGGCAACTTAGCAGCCCATGTCCTTACCTGCTGAGCCATCTTACTGATATCATGTCATACAATTTAGCACTTGTGGATTATTTATGTAAGGAATTTTCCAGTTAATATTTTCAGACCATAGTTGACAAATGAAAACAATGGATAAACGGGAACTATCACACGAAGCATAGCAGACTAAATGTAGGAGCAGTAGTAGGTACACATATTAATTGTGTTTACATAGCTTAACCATTACATTTTACCATGTAAATACCTTTGCTGATCATTCTCTCATATTCACTCACAGAAAGCTTGGCATCTAAGTTCCGCCTCTGTTTCTAAGCACCACCCTGAACAACTTTGATGTGAAAAATGGCAAGACACATACTCTACCTTTGTATGTTCTTGATCACCTCAGTTCAAGAAATTGCTCTCGCTACTTCTCCTGAGAGCCTCCAGGCCATGGTCAAGCTTGACATCTTCCCATACTCCAACCTGCTGCAGACCTGACAATTTTAGCTCTGCATGCAAGGTTCCCAGGGTTCAGCTAGCCCTCATCTTCACTCCTACTCAACCTCCCATCAAAGACAGCCTTGAGCACATCTTCCCTCAGCATTCATTCAGTGCCAAGTTGGCTATGCCCAACACCTGCCACTTCCCATCTCTTTGCTGCTTTATTTCATTAGCACAGCCACATCCCAGTTCAGGATATATTGTGCCTCTTCCTATTTTACAGGGGTGGCTTGAACTGCTAAGGAAATAATATCACTATGCTAGTTGGAACTCCCACTGATTGGTGGTTACCTGTTCCAGCAGGTCACCAGCATCACCACTAATACTTTACCTGGTCACCCCCTTTCACTAGCATTCTCTTCTCTCTTACACTCGGTGGTAGTTGGTAGTCACTACCCACTGCCTGCACTGAGAAGCACTTAAGAAATTAATAAAATGCTTCCCTGAGGGCATCGCCATAGAGGACAGACTTAGGAGCCCCTCCCTGACAGTGACACCCTCCTATAAGCTGGGGCCCTGGATATAGGACAGAGGGAGAAAGGGCAAAAACCATTGTTTTTCTACCCCCACCAGACTCCAGTTCTATGCTCTGGATGCCACTCTGTTCTTCTCTACACAGCACTCTTTCTGATTCATTGATTCTAGCTCTCTGGCTCTCTTCACATCCAACCATATAACTTCAGCTTCTCTCTGTAGCCTGAGCCATCCCTACCCACTCCTGACCTGATCCTGAAAATATCAAAAACAAGGAGGGAAAGCAAAATCTTCTTCCTTCCCTCTTTGGGTCACTCTATAAATACTAGTATCCATGTGTGAGCAAATGATAGATAGATAGATAGATAGATAGATAGATAGATAGATAGATAGATAGATAGAAAACAGATAGGTGGATGATTCATAGAACTATATATCAAATACATAAATGTAAATAATCATTTGCTGACTCATTAGCAGTCATTCTTCCTTTTCAGGTTCCTCATCTTTAAACCTTCATCAAGTTCTGCTGACTTACCCTCGATGCATATTTAACATTTCCTCTTGGTCCCTACACTGCCCATGCAGTAATTCATGTATCTATTCTCTCCCCTAGATTGTTCTCATTGCCCCTGAACTGACAACCTCATTTATAATATCACATATTAACACTGGAAGATGAGAAAGGTTTTTCCATTTGTGAATGATGTCATTAGACTACATCATCTTGAAAATTAAACTCTAAGCTACCTAGTAGCGTTTCAAAAGTCTCTATAATGTTGAACTGATTCTCTAGCCTCATCTTTCCTTCATTTCCCCACGCATCATTCAAAAGTATTTACTGCATACCTACTGTGTGTCAGGTATGATCACAAATTTTAAGGAGATACAGTGACCAAAAGAGACAGTACAGAAGAAATTAGTGAAATATAAATATGTTAGATAGTAATTAGTATCAAGAAAAAGAGAGGAAGTTAAAATGCTAGGTGGTAGAAAGCTGAAATTTTTAATGGAATAGCTTTCAGGCAAAACTTAGAGAAAGTGGAGAATTTCGCTGTGAATTTATGCATAGACATACATTATGTATGCTCACACATATGACATACACATGATATCCGTGCATCACATATGCCTCTGATGTGAGAATTTTGTATTTTCCTGTTCCCACTAAAAGTGTTCTTTCTCAGGTGTGGGGAAAGGATGTATGTGTGCAAACATACAAGTGTGTGTGTGTGTGTGTGTGTGTGTGTGTGTGTGTGTTTCCATCCAGGGAGTAGCAATGAGGCCCAATATCTGAAGCAGAGTGAACAAGAGAAAGGGTATCAGAAGATTAATTAGAGGTCTGCAATAGTAGCATGAAGTACACTGTGAGTAGTTACTGTAATTGGGAAGGGAGGCCACTGGAGGGGTTTAAAAAGGCCAGCAGCATAAGCTGGCTTCAACTTTAATAGCATCATCCTGGCTACTAAACTACTGTTACTGTCAAAAGGGCAGGTTCAGCATCAGCCAAATCATTTAAGAGGGTGCTGTGGGAATCCAGGGACAAGACCTGTGTGACAGCAGAGAAAGCATGCCTATGATGCACAGCCTGGAAAGGAAGAGCTTCAGAATTTGCAAGTATGCTGGATGTGAGATGTGGGAGAAAGTGAGGGATCAGAGGGGATTTAAGTCATCTGGCCTGAGGAGTTGGGGGAGGGAGTTTATTGAGTTGAGAAAAAGCAGGAAGAGTAAGGTCCTGATTTGGTACAGAACAGAAATGAGAAACTGTAAAAAGGCAGAGAGTCGGTATTAGCATTTTGGGACCACGTGCAGTGCACAGCAGAGCTACAATGATTACCATGAAGGCAATAAAGCTGCTACAAACAGCACAAAAACAGGTGTGATTGCCGGTATCTCAATAAAACTATACTGATGGACACAGAACATGGATTTCATATCATTTTTCCAAATTATGGTCTTGATATTTTGTCTTGCTATTACTCATATATTAGATATGCTTCTATCATAGAACCTTTGAACTCCAAGGTTCTTTGCTTATTCGTTTGTTTGTTTTGCTTTTTGTTTTTTGTTTGTGTGTGTGTGTGTGTGTGTGTGTGTGTGTGTGGGTGTGTGTGTGTGTGTGTGGGTGTGTGTGTGTGTGTGTGGGTGTGTGTGTGTGTGTGTGTTTGTGTTCCTTTATTTAGAGTATCCAAGCAGCTCAATATGTGAAGCAGAATGTTCAAGAAAAGCTACAAAGATTAAGCAGAGGGGCTGAGTTTGGAATCCCCTTGCCTTGGCCTCTCAAGTGCTAAGATAGTCAGCAAGTCCCAAGGATCCACCAATCTCTGGCCCTAGTATTGGCATTATATACACACACCACTATACCCAGCTATGGGTTTTGTTGTTTATTTAACTTGGATTCTGGACACAGAATTTAGGAACTTGAGTTTGTGAGGCAAGCACTTTACTGACTGTTATCTCTCCAGCCCAAAATATTTTTAATTAATACAAAATGAGATGTAACTAAACTTAGTTCACTGAACCCTTGTATAAAAAGAAGTTTAGATTTGCATTCTTCTGATGACTAAAGAAACTAAACAATTTTTCATGAATTTATTAGCCACTTGCAATTCCTCTGAAGTATCTGCTTATTTCATTTTACATTTATCAGTTGTTGTTTTGCTGTTATATTTTTCTAGCTCTTTATTTATTCTGGTTATCATTCCCAAGGTACATAAATAGCTGGCAAAGTGTTTCTCTAATTTTACAGGAAATACCATAATTAATTCCATTACTTTGGACTGTTAGTATACAATAGTAAAAATATTAAAAACTGAGTTTAAGCCGGGCGGTGATGGCACACTCCTTTAATCTCAGCACTCAGGAAGCAGAGGCAGGTGGATCTCTGTGAGTTTGAGGCCAGCCTGGTCTCCAGAGCAAGTTCCAGGACAACCTCCAAAGCAATACAGAGAAACCCTGTCTTGAAAAAACAATAAATAAATAAATAAATAAATAAATAAATAACTGAGTTTAGTTTTCAACAATACAATCTAAACTCTTTAACACTTAATTTAGGGTTTCTTCCATAAAAAAATAAATATTCCTGTCATGCAGGAAAAGGAGTGCCTTCATGGCCTTTATAAATGGTGATTTCTTGGAAATATTTGTCCCATATGATAGAAGGGTCCATGATATAATAGAATATTAGCAAACTTTAGGCATTTATACATTCCCTGTTTCTCAGAAACATACCATGCAGAAATTGAAAAAAATATCTATGCTGGTTGGTTTTTGTCAACCTGACACAAACTTAGACATACCTAAAAAGAGGGATTCTTAATTGAGAAAATGCCTTCATTAGATTGGCCTGTAGGTGAGTCTGTGATTAATGTTGATGTGGGAGTAGCCAGCCCATTGTGCATGGTGTCACCCCAGGCAGTAAGCAAGGTGCATAAACCTTGTCTAGCAAGCCAGTAAGCATCACTCTTCCATGGACCTGATCCTGCCCCAGCTTCCTGCCCTGACTTCCCTCAATGGACTGTAACATGACATGTAAGCCAAACAAACCCCTTCTTCCCCAAGTTGCTTTTGGTCATTGTACTTTATCACAGAAATGGAAACCCTAACTACTTATGTATCAAGCACATTTTCACTGTAATGTTAGGGAGAAAAAGAGAGAACTTCATTACCATTAGAGGCAGAAAGATTCATTATTAATTGTTGGGGGAAGGGAATAGACTAGAAAAATAAACTGTGCTTGTGAACCTGACAATGCTTTTTAAAGAAAAATAACTGTTCTTCTATGAAGAGTTTCAATTCTTATATTTAAAAGTTAAGTTTATTTAAAAAAAATAGATTGACTTGAAAAGAGTCAGTAACCAGAAAAAGTTTTCCAACAAAAAAGGTATACACTGAGGAAAAAAAAACGAAGATGTTTATAGAGCAGAAGGGAAAAGGGGGAGATGTCCTGGATAAGGGTATGCTGGAGTCAAGGCTCTCCTGCTTCCCATGGGTCCAGCAGCATAGCGATGCTACCAACAGACCCAAGCTCTTTCTGCAAACTCATCCTTAAGAAGCCAGTCTGGACTTCAAGACAGTCAACGGCATGGAGATGCCGTGACTGCTGTCAACAGCTCATCTGGCACCTGTCAGAACAGGGTAAAATCCCCGAGCTGCAGTTTATTAATTGTATAGTCACGGCTAATTGCCTAAAGTCCCCAGGGTTTACTTTTCTCACTGTAAAGTGGGAAAAGACACTAATCTCCCATCATGCTAAATGAAGTGACATTTGTAAAACTATTAACCAAGTGCTTTGCCTGGAATAAATGGCCAATAAATGAAAATGAAAGTACTCTTACCTGAGGAACACTAAAATTCTCTACTTGTTTCCTTTAGCTTCCAATTAGAGACTGGAATCGATGTAAGAATATGACCAAAAAGATTTAGAAACCTGATCATTTGCTGACTTTACCAGTAAGTTTAGGATACAATTAGGTAACCATACCTTTGCAAAGGCACACCGAGGGTTTTTGCAGACAACAGGTTTGCAGATCACCATATCGCCATGGCAACGACAGTTCTGGCATGAATCAGGCTTCCAAACTGTGGCATCCTGCAAGGAAGCAGAAGCTCTGACTTAAAAACTGATCAGTCAAGGTCTGCAACCCACAAAAGCAGCACCATCAACAGCCCCATGACCCAAGCGATTAAAAAGACAAAAGAAAGTCACAGGTACACCATGCATAAGGCATGCTGGGCACTGATTAAACCCCATGTGGCAATAAAAGCATGTAATCCATTTCACAACAGTCAGCCCACGTAGCCAAAGACAAGGGCATTCAGCAGAGAGCTGTCGATACCCAGAGTAAAAACTATTGATTGGCCTGAACCCTCAGGAGGACACGCGGCTCGAAGACTTGAAGTTTCTTTATATGCTGCTAACTAGCAGAAACCTCTGAGCAGGCTGGAAAGAAAATCACACTTTGACTAGCACTAGCTACTATTCAAAAAGCAGGATTTACCACTAGATACTAAAAGCACAGCTAACTTTGCTTGCTAGCTCTCTGCTGTCATGTATTTCAACATTTACCAGTGACAAGAAGGACGTGAGGGAGCAGCACAATGTTTTAAGACAGATCTACCAACACATTCATCAGATGGCTATTCTGTGACTGGCTGTGTGCTGGGAACACTGGGCACTAATTAAGTCTAAGTATGGGTAGTATCCATAAGCATCTTGTCATTCCTTTTATCGAGAATGTAAGGGAATTAAATAAATATAAACTGATGATCTAGTATTGTTATTCAACCATTTGGAAAAGAAAATATAATGGCCATGAATACAAGTGAATCTGTGCTCAGTTAAGTCTCAGAAATGTCTTTGTAATTCCTTGTTTTCCATCATGCTAAATCCTTATTTCACTTGGACTCATTTTAAAGTCACTTTTGACCCAGGTCTCTTAGAGATGGCAACAGATATCTATTTGTGGCTGTGAGAGGTGGCTCTGAGGGCTTTGCATGGAAGCAATGTGTAATGTAAACTACACAGGCTCCCAACACAAGTTCCTGCTCCATCTTTACTACAGCCATACTTACTTGTTGGCTGGGTTTGAAACACTAGTCTGCTTGAAGAACACTGTCAGTATGCTTCTCTGTTTTGAAACTACTCTTTGTTGCATCTTCAGTTCCAACAGAACAAAATGCAGACATCACATGACCTTTTGCTATCTCCAAGGGCAGGCTGAGGCTCACAGCCCCAGGTCCAGTCACTGGTTTCCCCTGGCTAGGTCTCACATTCCATTCACCTCCTGTAGTCCCTGATCTGCTCTGACTTCTCCAAAGAAAGCTCAAGCAGCTAGCCTCCATCCATCTCAGGGATCATGACTGCATCTCAGGGATGAATCCTTTTGACTTTGACCTCTACCAGGGTACAGCTGCTCAACCTCTCTTTAACTCACTGTGGCTGTGAACACTCTCACAATTTATAGCATTTATTCAAGTTCTTAGTAGCCTTGCTAGACCAGACCATAGGCCCCTTTAATTTCCCTTAGCCTGCCACACTAGAGATGTTTAAAGGGGTAGACATTAGTTCATGGGGTGCTTAGGAAAGGCTTCCTTCCTTCCTAAACTACCTCAGACATATTTTCTTCTGCCAACCAATGGAAGCACTATTCAATACATTAAGAGCCATTTCTAAACCCCTGATAGTTACTGAAATCCATGTATTACTTAGATTAAATTTTTGAATGAACTGAGAAATTGGTGGGTGGTAAAGTCTATATCTCAACTTTGCTAGGTTATATAGTCTCCTCATTTTTTTAATGTGGGAAGTTTTATTAAGGGAAGGGAAAGAGAAAGAGAGAAAGGGAGAGAGAAGGAGATGGATGGACAGGGGGAGAAAGAGGAAGAAGAGAAGTATACAGTCCCCTCTTATTTGATCAAATGTTGTGTTACTTTGATGGTACAGCTGGTCACAAATTTATATTATTGTTTACTGGAGGTTAGTGAAAAAGATACACTTGTATATTAGAGATCACTGCTACAATTTTGGATTTTGATCTTTTCCTGAGATAGAAATGTACAGTATTATGCGCTCTGAAGATGCTGGGTAGTGACAGAAGACCACAGCTCTCAGTCGACCACATCATCACCAGGGTCAACAACTAGTTTGCTATGATGTTCAGGATACATGCTTCCAATTTACTACTAGCCAGACAGAGGAGCACCACCTGTGTTCTGTACATGACACTGGCGTATGCCATCAGCTGGCCCTGAAACAAGAGACAACCTTATGCAACATTAGTGGGTACCAATTAGTAGTTGGCCTTGGTTGTAAAACCTGAAGTTTCCTGGAAAGCAGGGAGTTTGACCTCAAAACTCTAAACACAGAAATTTCAAGTTTCCAGGCTGTTGACCTGCCTTACAGATTATTAAAGCTGGTATTCACATCAGTTGCACAGGCCAATTCCCTAAAATACAGCAATCTCCCCTCAATTCTGTTCACCATTAATTCAGTACTTCTAGAAAATTATGACAAATAAAGCAACATGTGTGGAATTATACTGGATGAGCACAATATCCCCAGGCAAGCACTTTCAGTTCAAGGCTAAACTCATAATCTCTTAGGTTAGGGAATATGCTTTATACATGAGGGCCTCTCCAAAGTCACTCAAGAAATACAAACTGGGGCTGGACAGATGGCTCAGCCATTAAAGGATAGGATCACAACCAAAACAATAGCAAATACAAACTATGCATCAGGCATAGATGCACAGAGTTGCAAGCCTAGCACTTGGGAAATAAAGATAGGAAGACAGGAAGTTCATGGCCAGCCTCAGCTATGTATCAAATTCAAGACTATCCTAAGCTACATGAGACATTGTCTCTAACAAAACCACAAACTATATATATATATACATATATATATGTATATATATACACATATATACATACATACATACATACTTGAGCACTCACTCATGTATATATACGTGTAGATTCTGAGCATGGCGGCACATTCCTGTAATCCTAGCACCTTAAAGATGGAAGCAGGAGCATCACATCCTGGGTTACACAGTAAGACCCTATCTCCAAAGGGAAAGGAAAAAGAGAAGAAAGGAAGGGAAGAAGTGCTAATCCCACAGGGCTGGGAAGCTGTGGTTGATTCCCCAACAGGTATCTTAGTCCTGGAAGGCCACAGGAAGTAATTCAGAGTCCTAGCACTGTGCTGAACCAGCCCAAAGTCTGCGAGGCTGGAACTACCACTATCATTCCCCTTTTCTCCTTTTTACAGATGAGGAGAGAGTTAAGGGACATCAATCCACTTGCCCAAGTTCATGAAGTTCTTAGGCAACATGGGTGCTTGGCTCTGAAACAGATGCCTGCATTCAAAGCTAAGGTCACCCCTGTTAACTATGCATCTGTCCTTTGGTGAAGTGCCTATGTCCCAGATTCCTTATCTACAAAATAGAGCTGCAAAAATGAAATAAATAAAGTTGCTGTGAGGACCACATGAGATGATGTATGAAGTATATTTGATGCTTACCAAGAGACTATTAATATTCTTTTCTCTGAATGCCTATGTCATAGGTATTCAGCACCTATCTCTGAGAGGCTCCTTCTCCCAGATGAGTATGGTCCCACAAGCAAGGTTGGGCTTTTCCATCTTCTCATCTCTGTTCTACACAATTAAAGGCTAAATATAGAACTAGTCCGTAACTGGCATTCTAGCACTCAGAGGACTACGAACACTGCAGCAGAAGGCAAGCATGAATCTGGAGGTGTAAGGGTTTGTTCTTGCCTTTAGTGGTGGTTTCTATTTGTTTGCTTCTTTTTGTTTCAAGAACCAGGGGAATAATTAAATACAATGCTAGCAATGGTAGGGCAGGTCTCCCGATGTTACACTGCACGTCAGCCATGGCTCTTTCTGAACTGAGAGATGCCTAGGTAGATGGTAAAAGCAAACTCCCAGACAGTGCTAGCAATGGTAGGGCAGGTCTCCCGATGTTACACTTTACGTCAGCCACGGCTCGTTCTGAACTGAGAGATGCCTAGGTAGATGGTAAAAGCAAACTCCCAGACATCTATTGGTTTTCATGTGGTTTGGTTTGGTTTTGCTTTTATTTTTAAGATTATAAAACAATTAATGGGATTGACATGTAAAATAATCTAATTAAAATAAAAATTTAAAAAGAATATAAAAAACAATTACAACATTTCACTCTTCCTTTCCTCCCATCTATTGGTTTTCATGTGGTTTGGTTTGGTTTTGCTTTTATTTTTAAGATTATAAAACAATTAATGGGATTGACATGCAAAATAATCTTTCTAATTAAAATAAAAATGTAAAAAGAATATAAAAAACAATTACAACATTTCACTCTTCCTTTCCTCCCTCTATGCCCTACCATATACCTTTCCCAATCTCTTTCAGATTTACAGCCTCTTCTTCCATTAATTCTTATTGCATGCATATATATATTCCCAAATATAGCCTGCTCAGACAATAGACTATTACTAATATGTGCCTATTCAGGGCTGACTATTTTGGCATTGGACGGCAAACTGGTGTGTTTTGCCCTGGGGGAGACCACTGGGGTGAAGTTTTGTTGCTGCTATTGCTTTCCTTTTAGAATGCTCTTTGTTAGCAGCTACTGAACAAATACCAGGCATGTTCACAAGGCTATCAAGTTAAGCAGAGAATACATTCTCTCAGCAGCTACCGTCTGCCCCTGTGCTCTTTGACGGGTATAACACTCAACTGTTAGAGCATGCAGACCATGTTTCAGGGGCCCCATGAGAATGTCTCAGAATAAAAAGTGAGCTACAACAGATGAAGTCACTAGGAACACAATTCATAGGAACACAGATAGAAGGTGACCAAATCTGCCCCTATGTTCACAACTGGATCCCCGGTACAACAGAGAACAAGCTGAAAAACGTTTTCTTCCTTCATGTTAGAACAATGGGATGGATCCACAGTTCATGTCTCTGCATTTACCACTAACCACAGCTCACTAAAAGACATCTGATTTCTGAATAGTTTCTAGTGCTAGTGTGGAGGTTCTTGTGAGTTCCTAGATGAGTGGGAAACTCTGCTACACTAGCGTGAGC